ACTCTTAATACAAATGAATAAGTGATAACTCTATATATCTTGGACTTGTGATCACTCTTTATATAGCGGACAAAAGTAAACTTTAGGACTTGTGATCACTTTGATTATAGTGGACAAGTGTAAACTATTTCATTTGTTACAACTCTATAAACCATGGACATGTGAACACTCTTTATACATTGGACAAGTTGTAAACTATTGGACTTGTGACAACTCTATAAACCTTGGACATGTGAACACTCTTTATACATTGGACAAGTTGTAAACTATTGGACTTGTGACAACTCTATATACCTTGGACTTGTGAACACTCTTTATACATTGGACAAGTGTAAACTTTAGGACAAGTGATGTCTCTGAAAGCAATGCGAACGGGGACTTAGAAAATTTTTTTCGATCGGATATGAGTTGGGTTTAGACGATTGAGAGACAATTTTTCAAAATGATCACTCGGCTACTAGCTTTGAGGAGGAAGCAATGCTTGAGAAGGAAGGCTTGTAATAATGTAAAAAAAAAAAAAATTTTTTTTTCTCAAAGTACTTGGAGCCCAGTTTAGTCTTGTGTACATCACTTGGAGAATTCTCCCATAAGACATAATGCATAACACCATGAATCGCGGTACACTTTTTTTTGCGATTTGGATCCTTATAAGGAGTGGTATTTGAAAAATTTTTTCGATTGTATATAAGTTGGGTTTAGACGAATAATGAAAAAGCAATGCGCACCAAAAATTTTTCAAAAAAAAAAATAATTTCAAAAAAAAAAAAAAAAATTTTTTTTTTTCGCTTGAAAACATTTTTTGAGTGAAGATGAGTTTAGTTTAGACGATATATAAAAGCAATGCGCACGGGAACTTTGAAAAATTTGTCGAATAGATATGAGTTGGGTTTAGACGAATTGAAAAAAGAAAAAATTGTATTTTATTGGTTAAGTACTTGAAGACCTGTTCGGGCTAGTGTACATCACTTGGAGACTTTTCGCATAAGAGTTAATGCATAAGACCATGAATCGCGGTACACTTTTTTTTTTGATTTGGATCCTTGTAAGCACAGCATTGTCACGGGTCGGCGTCTAAGACCAAATGGCCCTTATGTGACGAGCGCCTTGGGCGTTTTAGTATGAATTTTTTCATTTTTGAAAATAATTTTATACTTATACAACAGAGCATCGACTCACTCGATTCCGAGCGAGAATAAGTTGAAAATAAAATTTTTAACGAAAAAATGTCTAAAGACATTAACAAGACGACTTTTTCAAAGTCTAACGATGGGTATATAAAATTTATATATCTTGTATATAATATATTTGAGAGTACGTTTTGAAATGTACAAAGAACGGATTTCGAGTCAAAATATATAAAATGAGGGCGACTCAATCTGTAAATGTTGAACGAATGCCCTTATATAAAAAAAAAAACAAAAATATATAAGGAGAGCAGTTATAAAAATATATATTAAATATATGTTGTATGTGAGTCTCATCGTTTAGAACAAAATGTTTCTTTCGATGTTTAAAAGACCCTCTTCATATTATATATTTTATACTCTCTCACTCAATATTTATAAAAAGAAGCTTGAGTGTTCTGAGAGTGTATTATTTTATAATATTACTTGAAAGATATATTCAAAGCTCCCTGGTTGATCCTGCCAGTAGTCATATGCTTGTCTCAAAGATTAAGCCATGCATGTCTAAGTGCATGCCATATTAAGGTGAAACCGCGAATGGCTCATTAAATCAGTTATGGTTCCTTAGATCGTACCCACATTTACTTGGATAACTGTGGTAATTCTAGAGCTAATACATGCAAACCAGAGTTCCGACCAGAGATGGAAGGAACGCTTTTATTAGATCAAAACCAATCGGTGGCGGGCTTTGCTCGTCCACCGTTTACTTTGGTGACTCTGAATAACTTTGTGCTGATCGCACGGTCTCGCACCGGCGACGCATCTTTCAAATGTCTGCCTTATCAACTGTCGATGGTAGGTTCTGCG